GTGTGTGTGTGTGTGTGTGTGTGTGTGTGTGTGTGTGTGTGTGTGTGTGTGTGTGTGTGTGTGTGAGTGAGTGTGAGAGAGAGGGAAACAGAAAGAGCAAAAGACACGAGGGAGGTGATACAACATCTCCAATTAGCTGGGCTGGTGGTCTGTTTGGGGGGTTTGGTGTGTGTGGCTGGATAATGAGGCCACATGGTGGAGGTCTTCAGGCAGGTTCAGGACCTGAACCTGCTCTCTGGACTTTCTGATCCACCTGATTCCACTTAAAGACCTCAGTCTGTCTGCAAAAATGTATTTTCTTTCGCCCTCTGCAGAAGGCGTCCTGCAAACAGCCGCGGCAGGTCTGCAGATGGAGCTCGCTGGGCATTTTATCGTAACCGAATCCAGACGTGTACCTGCTTATCATAACTGAATTTGATTATCAAACCACACATCAAAGTGCAGTCAGGAGTTGGCTACTTTAAGAAAACTGAAAAAACAGAACCTGACCACACTTTTTAGTTTTGCATTAAAAGCTGATTCAGTGAGATTTCTAACAGAGCACTTTCAGTTACTGTGGTTGGGAAAAGTGGTAGAAACGGTTAAACGCTCACGTTTAAAGTAACTGAATTTTAACAAGTTTTGGAACGAGCCAAAAACTACGAGACACACGAAAAGATGGAGGTGTGCGTATGTGGAGTCAAATACTTTCAATGGTCCATCTGAGAAAAAGCGTGTGCACTGGGAATTTGAGTATCCAGTGATGAAGGCCTGAAGAACACAACAGTGAACTGGAAACAGTGAAAGGTAACACAAGTGTTCACTGTAACTTCACGGCCACTAACCATGGATACCAGAGCAGTGATCAGCCACCTCGCCAGTGAGTTCCACATCCCACAGATGGAGCAGCACATAGTTTCCAACCTGCTGTAAAGCAGGCCTTTACAGTGTAGTTACTCCACCCAGGGTGAGAAACTCTCTGGAACAATAAATATCTGATAGAACAGAACAGGAAGGGCCAGGGCTGGTTGGCAGAAACAAAACAAAATAAGAATGATGGTCACGATAGTAAATCGATCAATGATGTCATCATTCTCTTGGGTGGATAGAAAATAAAACTAAACTAAAAAAAAGTTTGCGTTTACGATTCGCGGGCGGACGCTCCGTGTGGGTGAAACACTGCTCCATCCATGATTTAAAACTTCCAGTCATCACGTTAATCACAAACTCTGCGATTTTAATTGAGATCAAAGCGCTGTGACCAGACAAGCACGACACTGACACTAATTAAAACTATGATAACTCTGGTAATTAACTTTAGGACAAACTGCTGTAGCTTTCATTAACCCTGAACTGTCTCAGGGTTTCTTTGCTGCACACAGTTTTGCTGTGAAGTTTAAAGACATGGTGCTGTAGTCATTTGTTGCTGCACAGTCACAGTGTGTACTGGCCTCGTGCTCGTCAAAGGCCCACATCCACTGCCCACACTGGTTTCATGTTCTAACAACCGTAATGTCTCACATTAACAACCAGCTTTATGGTGCTGGATCTTTAATGCCAAATATCTTCGGCAAAGGTTCGGATGCATGCTGCTCCATTTTTCTGTCAGATTTTAAAAAGTTGAAATAAAGTCCAAGCACTGAAACTGACTGATCTTCTTTCTTTCAGCGTGCACAGCATCTTTTATCCAGTCATGCAGAAAATACACGAGTTATATCGAACATTTCTTGAACTTTCAGAACTGCGGTTATTCCCAGCAACATGAAGCAGGAAGTGCTTTTTTCCCTGTGCTAAATTAGCTGCAGGATGGATACTCGTGAAGTGTAGATGTGGGCTGGATGGCACACAAAGCAGAGAATCTGTAACAGAGGAGGTTTTGTTGTTGCTGATTCTTAAATCCATTTGCTCAGCTGAGCTGACGGGCTCGGTCCTGCACTGTAACATGAAACAGCTGTTTCTTGAAACAATTGACCAAATGAGCATTGCCATAGCGACTAACAATTAGCCAATCAGTCCAACAGGGAGAGTCAAAGCTGTTGTCAAGCACTGTTAAATTGTGCACCTCAACGGTGAGATTTTAAAAGGCTTGTTTGTTTTCAGGCATCCCTCAAGAACACGGAGAAACAAGCTGAACTGAGATGAGGCTTGAGACACATGCGAACCCCTGAGTTCGAGCACTTATCTGCAAATACTTGCTAACTGACCACCGAGAATGGTTAGCTTTGGTATAAAAGCTTTGCTACTTGTTTTAAATTGCACAGCTTTTACTTTGAAGGTTAATGGTTTGTTTCATAACTGCTTAGCGGATAGTTTATGAAGTATTTTAAAATTCCCCAATGCCTGAGTCCAGTGGGGGTCAGTTTAGGGCTATTCAGCAACCTTGCATTACTGACAGCACAGTTCAGTTCTACGCCTCCATAGAGGAACACACTAAAAGTCTTGTTGTGGATTTTGGTTGGTAGACGGCAGAAACTGTACAAATGTAACTGGCTGGAGAATGCACTGCAGCTCTTTGATGCTTTGATTTTTTTCTGTTTTACGTTGAAGTAAGATGACCTTTCCTGTTTCTTTACTGCAGAGTTCACTACGGATGTCAAATGCCCATTTAATATCACTTAACTTGATTCTTTCTGACGGCACTATGTTTTTAAAAACTGAAGGACGTGCATGTGTATAAATGAAAAGTATCTGTAGAGAAAAGCAAGTGGCAAATGAATTTAAAGGAAAACTGAAGAAACGCTGAGCAGCAGCAGCACTCTGAGGGAGCAGAGTGATCGACATCTGAGAGAATCTCCAGTTTCCAGATTCTTCGTCTGTTTTGTATCGACGAGTGCTGCTCTGACGCCTCCACATACACAGGGAGGCGCCACCAGGTCAGAAAGGAGAGGAGGAGCTTTTTTAGGAGGTGATGGGTCCGAGATTTTGTGCACGAGTGTGTAAAAGAATCCCCCAA